CTCTCTGCCTACGGTTTACCGGGCAGTTCTGTTTGTGACGATATATATACATATACGTTATACACATATATATATAAATGAAGATTAATAAAAATAAAAATAAAAATATATTTAAAAAAAAAAATTGTTCCTGTCCCAACGAACCTCGTTGTACAACAACTGCACACATGAGACCATACTGAGTTGCAAAGAATACTCCGACCTTAACAGACAAATACACCAATTAGTCGATTCCCCGAAAGTTCTCTTGTGTGAAAATTCTATGCTCCACGATCGTTGCTACTCACCTACGAACCTTGCCTACAGATAAAATACGCAACGTACCGACACTACCTACACGTACTGAAGGTTAAAAATAAAAATAATAAATATTTATGACCACCCGCAAGCACCATATAGCACCTTATCGCAATAACACATACGGTCTCACCCAAACATGAGGAGGCACAAACTCGATAATAGCTCAATAATCAGAACCAAAGCAGCCGACTAAAGCCAAAGTTAAAACAACTACCTCGAACCCTGCTTTGAACTAACCTCCACCTACCTTATATAACCAACCTTAAAATTATAAACACACCATATAGTATATAATACCAACTCAAAGCTCAACTCATCCCTGAACAATAACAACAAAAATAGTCACCTTCGCCTACCCTCCTAACACCCACATCTGCTAACCCCCCACCGTACCATGTCTACGTCTCGTTCCTGCATGACGACTCTGAAGCAGTCAATGGATGGCACCATGAACTCGTGCAGAAAGCCAAGGCCTTCATACACCTCGCGCCCCCCAGTGTACATGCGCAGATTGCCATGCTCGCCCTTCCACAACAGATTCTCCTGAAGGTTCACAATGCCACCAACTTGCAGCCTCCGTTCCTCATCGAGAACCTGCTCTTCTCGGATTGGGCGCTGATCGTGTCTAAATGGGCAACACTCAGAGAAGATGAAGATCCCATTATCCAAACATATGCCAAAGACATAGAAGCGATCATCCAACAAGCAGCAATGCAGAATCGAGAAATGGAGAAGATTGTAGCCAAAACCGAGAAAGTCATCCTCGATCTTCATGGCTTCAACTCTGCACACCTCAGCAACCCAGGTGAGGTCTCCAAAGCTAACGGCTCCGATGAGCACAGGCTAAAGATGCTCGACCACCTCAACCCCACACAGGCCGAAAGAGAATGGTATTTGAAGAGGATCGCGGAGAGACAACAACAGGCAGCAAAGCCTGTCACCTCTACGTCGACGCCTCGCAAAGCTAATCTCTTCAAAATCTCATTTGATGCACCATTCATCCCCGTACAAACCGCCAGATGGCTTGAGGGTATCAGCAACAGCTATGACAACAAGCTCTGGCTACTCGATTCCTTCAACCACACGGCTCCGATCTCCATACAGGCGTATGCTGCGCTGGCCAACCTTTCTGAAGCCGACCTTGCGGAATGCAGGGACGATGCACAAAAAGCTAACATCTGCAAAGTGGCAATAGATGCCAACTTCCCCATTCTCGGCCCGTTAGACACCTCCAAATGCCCCAAATGCCACCCCACTCCTTCACCAAAAAGCACTACAGAAACCAACCACTGAACTATATGAGTTCAAAAAGTTGTGGATTTCTGGAAGGTCATACCTAAAATGCAACTGTCCGACACACAGCCGGGTGATCACTTGGTTTAATCACATGCTCTGGTTCTACATCGCCAATCTCGACATATTCAAGGCGGATGTCCCCTCGGATATGATGAGAATGGTCGAACTGACTGACAAACTGCAAAATGAATGGAGAAAACCTGTTAAATTACAGGTCACCTTCCTCTACATGCGCCGACACATGATGAATCTCACTCACCTGCTAGTTGCCAGCCCACAGTCCTCCATGGAACAACTTTGTGACAGAGCCCCTTACAGGGACATGCCCATGGCCAGGAAAATCTTGGCTACCCTTCTCCCCGCCGCTAACAAAACTCCAACAAGAGAACCAACACCCAACAAGCGAAAGAATCACCCGATCCCAGACATCATTCAACAAAGCAAAAACAGGCAAACAACCATCCCATTCACCACACCTCCTGCCGCCCAACCCCACTCAACTGCAACACCAGGCCAACGCTCCTTGCACCCACACACTGCTGCAAGCCCTGCCCACCACCAGAACGCACAACACACACCCACCCAACCCTTGCGCACAGCTCAGCACCAAGCAAGCGTAATCCCTCCGCTGCAACCCACACCCCAGCAACCACTGCAACAACCCCCGGCACTCAACGCGCAGACCCACACCCACACCCACGAAAGCCCAAACAAAGCACGCCCCGGCACACGCAGAGCCAAACGCAACACAACAAGCGCCCCTCCAAAAAGATCTCAGAAAGGGAGGTGGCAAGAACGGAAGGAAAGACTTGTTGCAGCAAAGAAAGCGCAACAGCAAGCCGGCCCCCAACAAACACCGCCACTTCCCCAACAGCAAGATGTGAACGCACGACAGCCCAGCCAGCATGCACATAACCACTCTCGCCCACGGGACAACCAAGCACCTGCGCCACTGCAAGATGTTGGGACCTCAAGCACAAACCACCACCCGGCCAATCCTTAGCTGCCCAACTATCGCACAGCACAACCGCCCACAACACAGGCACAACAATTCATCCACAGCATCCTCACCGCCTGCATGCAACAGCCTAATGCTGCGACACTCCTCCCTCTGCCTGCTCCAGCGGTTGCTCCCGCTGCCTCCCACAGCACACTGCAAGCCAGGGGCTGGCTGCCGCCTATTCACCAGTTCCTCTCCCAACACCGACAACAATCAAGGCCTGCAACTTCTCCCATACAAGGAACTGGACGACAAAATCCAATCGTCCTTGCGTCGGAATCCCCAGACACACCACCCAGAATCCACAATGACATAAGCATCCTCCTTGAGCCATACAACATTGAGTGCTCCTTGATTGATCCCAACCTTGATAAAAGCTACTCCACTGACATCGTGCACGAAACCCCTGCACCACAGGCCACAAGCAAGCCAATCAGAAGAAGCCTCAGTGAAGAATTCACGAACAACGGACTGACACTCATAGATCTATGAACCGCATACGTCTCAAGGCTCCATGGGCCCCACTGTCATGCAACCACCTCGGCCTACTTCAAGCCAACAATAATGCTACGTGCTCCCTATCAAGAGGCATACAGAAGACAAAGTGCAGCTTAAGCCGGCTCCTTCAGCAGTGAGATACTCATCTACGTTGTCAATGCTGATGCGTCTACCACCTACAGGGACCTGGCCAACTCGTCTTGCTGATACCGAACTCTAAAGTACTAGTACTTTTTTCGTGGCACCATAAAGAGGCTGCATTCCCAGACAACTGGGGCACACTAACCTCCCTATCTATCCATAGATAACTATTGAGGTTTTAGCCACGCTTCTGAGAAAAGTTGGTATCCTGCTGCTCTGTTTTAGAGTAGAACTGATCATTATTTTTTGTTTTGTTCTTATTTTTGAAAAATTGAATCCTCGCCATTGATGTTTTCGCTTAAGTCTTGGAGTTCATGCTTCCCCCTCTCAACAACCCTCTCTCTCTCCCGCTC